CAGGTCATGTGCACCTTCTCCTGTAAAATGACAAAAAAAAAAAAAAAAAAATACTGTGTTTGAGAGTTCTCCACTTAATTCACATTTTCTTCAATTTTCAGTAGAGCAGGTGGTTTAATTTCATCCATAACAACACTCTGTTTCCTTTTTTCTCCCCCACTCACAGATCCCATATCCCTGTGTTCACTGCTGGAAGCACTCTGGAAATAGAGAGAGAGGATTATTTTGCTGACCATTTGCAAACTTGTTTTCCTGGTGGTGCTAGCAATAGCAGGGTCTTTTTATACACTAACTAGGATCATACAGTTCTAGTTAGCTGCTGGCACAGCTGGGGAAAGTACTACAGTACAGGAGAACAGACTTAATTTTGCCAAGTGGATAGCTTTGTATTCCCCCTACCCATCCTTGGGTTATTTAAAAACAAAAACAAAGCATGTTCCTATGCCCATATTACATGCTTGTTCAGTAATAGAATTGTTGGTATAGCTATTTTTCTTAATGATAAATTTGTATGGTAACCTAACACTGGCATAACGAAATTCAAATAAAAATCACAATAGATTAGTCTGAATGCTTTTCTTTTTCCTATATTTAAAGGTGGTAGTTGTATAATCCAAGACCCCTTTTAAGCAGAGCTCTTTTCAAAAAGAATTGATACTCACGTACCTGCCATTCTGTGTAGTGGCTTTATTTATTCTTCCCAAAGCTTCATACATCTTAAAGTACACTTTTCTTATGACCTTGAAAACACTACATATTTCTTTGCCACCTCTCTAAATCCTTTGTTTCTGAAGACTTATTGCAATGTCGATCCACTGAAGACATTCAATCTGTTTGAGAAAGAAGACTTAATTGCCCTACTGCCAGAGAGAAAGCAGACTTGTGCAGGTTAGGGATGAATCCTGTGGCAGCAGCATCAGGATTCTTATGTAATTCTCAGTTGCTGATTAATAGAAGGGTTCCTTCCAAGCCTTTTAAAAATCAATGGCATTTCTTTTAAAGATTTACTTATAACACATTTGTAATTAAAATGTTCTGCTGGAGATGCTGCCATGCTGTGTTTTTATTTCCTTTCTGAAAGCTTTAGAAAAAACCCCACATTATTTTGTCAAGTAGAATTTGTTGAGTGTCTCAGATTAACTTGCACTAAAGGTTTTGGTTAAAATTAATGTGTCATAGAAGGAGGGAAAGGTAGACACATTTATTTGTTACTTTTACTTTTGCTTTTTTGGTTACAAAGCAATAGGATTATAATAATCATTATATTCCGTTACCAAAATGTTGTCATGCTCTTTTTCTCAGAATGCTGCATTTAAAGTATTTATGGATGAGATTCATCCCTATGTAGAGGGCTTGCATGAAGTCTGTGCATCACTTAATCCCTCCAAATAATGCTTAAGTGAGATTTGAGATATACTTATGGCTTGTGCTGGCTCCCTGCACAAGGGTGACTTTTATCCTACAAGATTAAGCCAAAAGGAAAAAAAAAAAGAATGCAACTGTACTATTTCAGCATTGTATGTATGCCATCATTTTAAATATCAAATCCACTTTTCATAAATGATGATTACATACATTTTTTGTTACACTGGCCATTCAGTTTTAGGCCTTGATTCAGGAAATCACTTAAAGGCTAATGTGATCACTAAGGCAATGTCTGGCTACAAAATTATGTCAACCTAAGTTACGTTGGCATACAGCCGTCACAGTTATTACATTTGTAAACAGGGTCTGAATGAATTCTCCCCTGACAGCTAGCTGGGAGGGGGAGAGACTTCAGGAGTAAACTGTATTTACATGAACACACCTACTCTGCTTAGATATCCAGCAGATAGAGCAGTGTTTCTCAAAGTAATCAACTTTGGCTGGTGTTGGGCTACAAATCACTTCAGTACTGAACGCAGGGATAGTGAAATGCTGTTACCAATGTTGTTGTCTTTATTGTATGAATAAAGGGGAGCAGAACTGTGTTTAACCTATCCCAAATGAGGAGGTCACCCTCAGCTGAAAGGACCTCGATAAGCCAGGGTCATGCATGCCAGAGCCCGGTGACAGTAAGAAGGGTGGGGACAGGTATCCCAGCCAGGAGGTGTGGACTCTCTCTCAGGTTTTGTTTACACTGGCAAACTGTTGTTCAAAGGTGCCACACACACACACCAAAAGTGTTGTCGTTGACAAGAGTTGGTGTAAACAGTGCTTTGTCTGCAGGAATGCTCTCCTGCTGACAACGCTAATGCTACTTATTTGGGGTGGAAGTTTTCTGTCAGCAGGAGAGCTCTCTCCTGCCAACAAACAGTGGCTACACTGCGTGCCTTTTACCGGCACTGCTGTAGTTGCACAGCTGTGTCACTAAAAGCTGCATAGTGTAAACATAGCCTCAGGGTCCCCAGTGTGGTTTAACCTGTTCCTCCCCACTGTTCTAAGAGCTAAATAGGCTTCCTTAGGAGCCTCTTTGTTATGTTAAAGTGCTCAGATGAGTGCTCAAATTACTTGAGATGGGACAGTGTTTCTACCCCAGCCTGCAAAGAGCTGAAAATTACTAAGAGACTGATATGTAGAGGTCACAGCAAAGAACCAGGTGGCACAAGAAGGTGCCTGACTGTCAGCCGGCGAACGAGCAGATGGCAAGGCAACGAGTGGCTGGCAGGGCGGCCAGCAGAGAGGAACCGTGGTTGGTGGGAGGGCCAGGTGGCAAGGAACTACGGCTGGCAGGGCAGCCAGCCAGAGCAAGTGCAAGCAAGGTGCCATCTTCCCCGGGTGTGCAGTGAACTCACACAGTTGCACCTCTGAACCCTGGGTCCTCACTGACCAAGGACAACCACTGTGAGTGGGGTATGGTGAGGGAGCAGAGAGGGGCACAGAAAAAGGAACTTTTGGTTGTAGAACCCAAGCTTCTGTCTCCTGCCCCCGCAGGGGAGAGCGGTGGGCAGTGGGGCTGGGGGCCGGGACCATGGCAGGCAGCAGCGTGTCACTCAAAATCGGCTTGCATGTTTGGCACGCGTGCCGTAGGTTGCCAACCCCTGGATTACACATTGCTTGTGCTTGTGCATGTGCACACTATGCTTCTTGTGTCAGTGGTGCATGTCCTCATCGGGGCACTTGGGTATAGCATTTTTTATTGGCCTCTGCAGGTGATTGTCTGATGTCCTAAATCATATTCCTGTGTTATCAGTGTAAAACACACTATCAGAGCTGTCTATCATTCTAAACACACTGTAAGAAACGGAGCAGATTGAATATTATTTGTTAAATAGAAAATTTACCTAAGATTGGAAGGGGTTGTCTTTGTGAATCATATGAATCTATTCAGTATCATCTGACATTTCACAGGCAATCAAATGGCAATGTATGGGTTATTAGCTTAGTGGCTTATGTTGGAGCTTCAGATTTGGTTAGAGTGAGCTGCACTGAGCACTGGAGTGATTGAGTGAGTAACTCTGAACAGAAAAAATCCAAAACCATTAAGCTTCCTTATTGAGTGACTGATTCACTGCCTCTTACTCCCACACAGATCTGTGATAAAAGGCCCAGTTATATCCAGGGTGTGTCTTAATCTCCAGTGAATCAAAATACAGATATTTCATGACAAATCAATCTCTGAAGCTTCACAAATAAGCAAGTATATTGTGCTCAGAGACAGATGAATCAACCCAAAATCTTAGCATCCACAAAACAGTCATTAGTTTTTGTTCTGGTTCTCGGCCAGCTCTAATACAAAGTCACAAAAATATCAGTTATGAAATAAATGTGAAGGTAAAACCACACATCAGCTAAACATTATAAAAATCATCTTGCTGTTTCATTCTACTTTATTCATTAGTCAGTGACATAAGCATTAACTTAAAAACCTGACTTGATTTTAGAAAAGATAAAAACCACCTTTTTTCACCCTCTTAAGCCAGTGAAAAGCAAGGGAGGGACTCTTACTACCCCCCACTCCCCCGTATATGGTATGATTCAATAAGTGTCCAAATGTTAACCATGGTGCCTGATCCTGTAAGGTTCTGAACGTTTCAATTAACATGGATTCAGATGACAGCTGAGGGTGTTCAACTCATCTACAGTTTGAGTATAAGACTTGGAAGCGACATTTAGCTGTTTTCGGCAATTCACAGCGCTGCACTTGCTGCGCTCAGGGGTGTGAAAAAACACCCCCCCTGAGCGCAGCGAGTGCAGCTCTGTAAAGCGCCAGTGTAATCAGCGCCTGCAGCGCTGCACGCTCGCTCGCAGCGCTGCAAGCTATTCCTCTTGGAGAGGTGGAGTACTTGCAGTGCTGAGAGAGAGCTCTCGCAACGCTGGCGGCGCAACTACACTCGCGCTTCACAGCGCTGCCAAGGCAGCGCTGTGAATCCGCAAGTGTAGCCAAGGCCTGATAGGGTTTTGGGGGTTTTGTTTCTCACCTTTGTGTAAAAGATCCTCCTTGACGTTTAAAATGAATATTTCTCTCCTTTTGCATTTGGCAAATATTAATTAATTTCCCTGTTGTTTTTCCCCCTGCAACTTAATCAGCAAGCCTAGTTTGTCTCCCAGCTTTATGGATGTTGTCAATAACTAAGTGTAGAGTTCTGCTATTACAGTATAAATTAATAGTGGGAGCACAAAAATATTTGGCTTTTTATAAGTTTCAGACAGATAATGACTATCTTGTAATTTAGAGAATTAATGTGTGGTGTGCATTCCTCACCAAGTGAAAATCATTTTAAGTTACTTTGAAATTAGGGTCTCAGCTATTAGACACTGCCTGTTCAACAAGGACATTTGTGAGAAGAGTCTTATTTGTATCAATTTATGTGCAAGCTAGTCTCCTGTTTCGTCTTGTAGGACAACTGCTATGTTTAGTAGAGCAATGTTTTGATATATTCTGCATTTTTAAAATGTACAAGTGCTCACAACTCCATAGTTCTAACCTCACATTTTAATAAGAGTGATATTGTGAAATATAACCATTTCTATCCTTTGCTGGGTTAGCTAACAACATGCCATTGTTATATTTATTGCAGTTTGGGAGGCACTATATTGAAGACCTATTTAATGATTTTCGAGATGGACGAAGACTTCTGGAGCTCCTTGAAGGTTTTACAGGCCAAAAACTTGTATGTATACATTTTTGTAATTACAAACCTTACTGTACTTTTCCACATGACAGTCTTGTAAGATATTGATAGTTGGCTAAAATCACACTAGTATTTCTCAATGGATACAGCGGACAAAGTGCTGAGCATCCTCAACTAATCATGCCTTCAGTAGGAGTTGAGGGAACTCAGCATCTGTTAGGATCAAGCCTCTAATCCGGAGTCATGCTGAACACCATCAACACCTATTGACTTCAGTAGGAGTTGAGGGCAGTGCTTAATTTGTAACTAAAGACATGTCGGGGTTCAAGCAAATTTTTTACTTTCATAACTGATGCAGCAAGCCTAGAGATGCCAGGGCTATGAACTGCCAAGATTAGAGGTGCCGGGGCTCAGCCCCGACACAAATTAAGCACTGGTAGAGGCTCTCAGCATCTCTGAGGATAGGGGCCTAAATTGGACAGGTGACACAGTTAAGTATGTATTCTAAAAGTGAATTTAATCTTTGACCCCTTGTTTTGTTTAGTACCTCACTAGAGATATTTGTTCAAAACCTCGTGGACCTATTTGATAAACATTTTGTGACCATATTAATTCTTACACTTTATACTATCTTCTATCTGATCAGCCACACATGATGAAATATATCGTCAATGATTGCCATATATGCAGCTAATTATGGGAAAACCTCAAAAGCTTTGATAAAATCATATTTTGGAGATTTGTTCTAACTTGTATGCAGCATCGCTTTTCCTCTGATTTTCTTTGTTTGAGCATAATATATTTCTCTCCCTCCAACTTAGATCTTTGCTTATATTTTGTATTTATTTAGGGATGCTTTTTTCTTTACATTTAATTCTTTAAAAAAATTAAATAAAATTCTTCTTCCTCTTTGACAAATGATGGCAGAAGGTAGTAGTCCATCTGCATGAGGACTCTGGGTTGCTAATGTTAGTGTAGCTGAATCAAATGCTAGCAAAGATGGGATATTTTAAAAAAATATTCCTACTGTAGACAGGATTTGAGAAGGATTCTTCCTTCCTAAAGCAGAATTAATCCTGGAGCTCTCCCTGGACTGGTGAGCACAACTGAGCCTGGGAGTAGCAGGTTCATAATAGTGCAGGTGCAAATGGTAACAATATGGCCATGCACTAAGGATGTGAAGCAGATATCCCCTTTGTACACTAAAGGGAAGCTAGGCTTTCTCAGTTAAATAGTTTAACTCCGATATACAGAAATTGGTTTTATAATAAATTGTGTAGAATTAGACAGACTTTTTTCAGAGTTGTCATTTAAAATATATGTCTTGAAGTAACCTGACTAAAGGGAATCAAATCTGCCCTTACTAACATGTAAATGCTAAAATAACACAGCAAAAATATTTGGATTCTTGCCTGTTGCATTTCCTTTTTGTTTTTCGTGAGCTTGAGAGCTTTCTCTTAAACTTTCTCATAAATGTAGGGAAACAAGCTGACAACATGAGTCACATTCCAGAGAGGAGATACTTGCAAATATTATACATGCTGATGCTTATCTGGTTGGTTGTCATGGTAATGTTCCTAAATTGTTCTGTGGCAGGGGAGATTAATCATAATAAAAATAACCTGAATTTATCTGATTCCTATATACATTTTGATTATATGTTCACTGAAAAAATGTCAATAACCAATTTAGCCCTCAAATTAAGATTGTTTGTTGCACAATTGTCTTTATTTAGTAGTTTAAATTCTACTTTGCATATATATAGAAATAATTATAGTATCATCTCCAAAATAGTCATAAGTTTGTAAAATACAAATCCCTGAACTTAAAGAAGTGGTCTCATTATATTCAGCATTTTTTTTTAATTTAAATATGCTTACAGGCAAAAGAAAAGGGTTCCACAAGAGTTCATGCTCTGAACAATGTCAACAAAGCACTGCAGGTCTTGCAGAAAAATAATGTAAGTAATCACCTGGACAAGGTCAGAACATGCATTAGACATCATGCTTAATGTTTTATAAGTGATAGCTCAACCCCTGGATACAGGATACAGTTTCTAAAGTCCACTATACATCAAAGCAATGGTACTAATGTAACTTAACTTATCTATGGGTTCTGCAACATGGCTGTCTGTTTGTGCCAAATATAATTCAGATGTTTTCTGGCAGCAGGTTTTAAAGTAGCTGAATAATAAATCTGTAATAAATGCTATTTGAAGCCTGATCCAGTGCAATTCTTTGTTAATGTGGTGTTACAATAAATATGAAAAGTGTTCATTACCATAAGTCATCCTTAGTAAAATAGGAGTTGATTCTAGCTATCAGAATTTCAACTCATTAAACAGTTGCTTTCAAAATACGGTAGAGTGATGTCTAAAAATCTGAGGTTTTTCTTAGGAGAAATAATTTCTAGTATATTTCTTTAGGTGTTTATGGGATAACAACATTAAAGATGTGAGCCAGGTTAAAAAAACCCACACATTCCATTCTATTCTGTTAAGATTGACGCTTCAGGCCAATATGCTTCTTTTAATGTTGGAGTAAATATTCCCAAAGTATCTACCTCTTACAAGCATTCTAATTGACCAATAATTTTATCAGACATGTTTAGTGGCCAACTAATTGTATCACAACCCTCCCCTCTGACCCCCCCAAGAATAAATTCAAATAAATAATAACATTCACTTAAAACCCAGTAAGCTGTGATGGAATAGTAACCACGCATTCTGAGCCGCATATTCTATTGGATTTCTTGATAGGTACAGTAAGTCTTTCAATGTGCTTGAGTTCAGCTGGTACATGGATTCATTGATTTTCTAACTCTAAGGTAACGTGTACCTAGCTGAGCATTTGTGCATAAGTCAAAGTGATTTAATGGGAGTGTTAAATTGGTAATAGAGATCTTTACGAGAGGCCATGCATTTTTAATGATTTTTTTTTTAAAGTTGCCAATTCTGCATCACTGAAAGGATGCTATGTATGATAGACAATTGTATATCGCTCTGAAAAAATTCAGTGGTCAAATATTTGTCAATGTGCTAAAAACTCTTCATTACATGCATACAGTATAATATTACTTTTTAAAATTGTTTAAAACATCTGTTTACTGGGGCATTAGGAAAATGTGCTAGTGGGTTGTTCATTCAAATTCTAGCACACAGCTACAGTGCCTTTCTAATGTGTACAGGAAGTACCGCTCATACAGCAAGCTTCTTTCAAATAAAGTTATGAGTATGTCAAGGGCGTTTAGGATAAGGTTAAAATTGAGCCTTTTAATAGGTTAAGGCTTCATCATGTATATTATGCAGTGTCAGATTATAAAACTAAAAGCCCTCTCTAAAAAACCTTCTCCTGCAATTGTAGTTTTTTGAATCCATGGCCTCTGAATGGTCACGCATGTAGGATGTGTATACTGCGAAGCTTCAGAAACCTCTGAAAAGCAGCATTTGTTGAGCTCCAGGAGTGCCCCATTACAGCACCAAATATTTGGTGCCAAGACTCTAAAAGGAGCATGTGGTTCCAAGTCCTTCAGCTAAACTTTAGAGTCCTAAAAGGGGAGAAGAAGGTGAATGGGTAGTATAAATAACCAGAGGGGACTATATTCAAAGAGTTTCTGATGTGCATCTTAAAATTGCTTCTCTATAGTCCCAGGGATTACAGGAAGGAGACGTAACAGGAAAGCCTGCTCCTTCTTTCTGGTTTGGGGGAGCAGTCCTTCTTCACAGCTCCCCCTCAGTAATGGCTGGGGTAGTGAGAATCCCACTTGTGGCAATCTAATGATCAGTCCATACGGTAAGTGAACTGAGAAGCAGTAACGAAACAGGCATTGCGGGACTGCCCTTTTAAGGCAACCCTTGAGTCTAGATGCTAAATTGAGAGAATAGTGCTGTGTAAGATTATGTACAAATCTCCAGGTAGAAGCCCTATGGGTTTCTAAAATGGAAATGTTCTGAAGGCAGGCAACTTATTCCACTTTAGCCCTGGTAGACTGACTTCTAAGACCCTGAGGAACTATTATTCTGGCTTATATATAACAAGTCTCAATGGCCAGCCAAATGCATTGTGACAAAATATGTGTGGATTTGTCATTCTGTTTACACTGATCCTTAAGGGGTACAGAATGTGTAGGGGATGTCCTAAATGATTTCATCCTAGGCAAGTCAAACTTCAGAGCCCATTTGTCATCTAAGGAATGGCATCTAATGTCCTCGTGGAAAGTGTACCGAGAGACTACTGATCTGATTCTGATCTGACTCAAACACTGCTATTTGTAACAGTTTCATAATTCTCAAAGAAAAAAAGTGTCATTCTGAGTTCTCAGATTTTTTTCAGTTAAGAAAAAGAAGTTACATTTTTTGGAAAAATTCTGGCTTTGGGCATGAGGCTAGTGTAAATGACCCCCACACAGGTGTATAGCAACTCTGCAAAATCAACCTGTGCCCTTGTGGTGGCTGCTTCTGGCAATCATGCAGAAATTATTTCTACTAGTTTCAGGAGTTAGCTGTCTAGTACAGGGCTCCATGAGTCTACATGCTGAGTGCAGATCATGATATTGACCCCATAGTCTCACTCTAGATACAGTTTTGGCCATACAGGAGTTGGACTTGCATGTTAAAAAAGATACTTGAGAAAAGTGTTTCAAACTCAGGACATGATTTCACAAGGTGTTGCCTCTTTTGATATACTGAGCACCCTGGTCTCCCAATGTAAGAAATGAGAGGTGAAGGTGCTCAATACTTCACAAAGAGTAGTCAGCATCTTGAAGGACAAGGCCCCCAGGGGGAGGGGTACCCCAGAGTAACGTGCTGGAGTGAGATGTTTCAGAGTAGCAGCCGTGTTAGTCTGGATCTGCAAAAAGAACAGGAGAAGTACTCCTGTTCTTCTTTGTGCTGGAGTGGCAAATTCAGAGAGTCATATTTGGGAAATGCAGTAGGGTGTGCTCCAGGCAAAAGCCTTGACCTCCTCCCTGTCCTCCAAAATGCATCATCTGCTGGCAAAACTCTCAATGACTTCAATATGGGTCTCTCGTACATCTCAAAACAGTTAATGAAACATTACGTTGCAATCACAAAGTCAGGAAAGAAGAAAATGGGATCTCCCACATAAATGTTAAAGGGGCTGGCTGTATATATGTTGTTTCTTTTTTTCTTTCTTGCCAAATATGCATTGCAATATTACTAGAGGGTTTTTATTTTTGGCAAAATTTAAATTGTAAAACAAAATGTGCAAAGTGACAGTTTTGAAGTTGCTGTGTGAACCTTATTGTGTGTATTTCCTTGAAGTGTCTGTTTGTGATTTTTAATTGTGCAGTCTTAATATTGCATTAACACGTAGGGGTGGATTTGTATTTAATTATTGTATTTTAACTTTATATTTTCACTTAACTTTAGAGCTTGGATAGTTATATCTCCATATCGCTAACTCTGCCACTTGCTTTTTGCCTGCACTTCAATTGTTCCATTTCTCAAATAAGCATTGAATGTTTACTTTTGCCAATGTATTCACCCTCACAAAAACAAAACAACGCCCCAACCTATTATAATGTTTTAAAATGTGGTTTAAACAAACTGGTTCAAGATTAATCAGATAACTACTTCAAATGCCTATATTTTTCAAAATCCAAAACAAATTACATTTTTGTCATGGTTTCTTTCACAAAATGCACTAGTATCCAAATACTTTTTCATACAGTGCTTATTTTGCATTTCTCTAATAGGTTGATTTGGTGAATATTGGAAGCACAGACATAGTGGATGGAAATCATAAACTGACCCTTGGATTGATCTGGAATATAATTCTCCATTGGCAGGTGAGGGATACTGCTGAAGGTTCTGAAATGTGTGTTACATGATCCTTGCATGTTGTTACCCACCCACAACCTATAAAACATAGACATTTCAAACAAAATAAGGCCATTCACCAAGTCCTCATTTCTTAAATTAGTAAATTTGATAATGGTTTGTTTGCATATTATCTGGAACATTAAGAATCAGCAGATTATAAAATAGGTTATGGAGCATTAATAGCAGCTTTTCTAATTTTACTGTGAGTTGTTGAAAAATGAATAGACAATACTAATGTGGAAGAATTGTTCACCCTTTTAATAATAGAAGAAGAATGACTTTTTTCTTTTTCGGTTAAATACTAAAGTCATTATACATTTGTCTTTTTTTTTTTTTTTTTTTTTTTAATACCATTGACCCACTCAATCGCAGATGTTGTTAGATCCCTGCAAAAAGCAGCTGAAGTTTTAATAACTCCTTGAGGCAGGTGTGGCCCATTTAGTTCCACCCTGGTCATAAGGGAGATAGGCCTTGCCATCTAGAGAGAATGGGAATTAGCACAGAGCAGATCAAGCAAGGAGACCACAGAGAAAGATATGCTCAGGTAGGAAGTTTAGGATGATGTTAATCATTTTTGAGATACCATTAAAGCTATATTCTAGGAAGGGCTTGACATTAGATTAGGGTGTATGTGCTCCTTTGACAATGGGGTAGGGATTCATACTAAGTATATCACACACACACACACCCAACCAACCAGTTAGGGCATTCTGGCAAAAGATAAGCAAGATTGGCTCATTGCAACATGAAAAACAATGCTGATGAGCCCCAAACACACACACAAAAAGGACAATCATCTACCATCCCCACCCACCCACAAATTCACAGAAAAGGGAACAGTGGTTTTCTGCAGGAAAGGCCTTAAAATCTGTTATTTTGATTCACTCCTATCCTTCACTTCCATACTTCTCTTATTTGGTTTAGCTGGTGGGATTAGTTATTGCTTTGAAGGATGTAGAGTACTGAATCTGAAGCACAGGTAATGGGAGTATGAGCACTGGACCATATGTAACTGTGAAAACTTCTAGCAAAAATTTAAGCAATACATGTTTTAATGTATATAAACTACAGATAGATGTGAGTGTCCTTTTCTGCAGACTCATAAACTGTCTTTTTTCTCCACGTTGTTTTGAGTTATAGAAATCTTTACTGCTAGTTGTTTTTTTTTCCTGGCCTCTCTCATTCCCAGCATTCCTCTCATTGTGTGTGTTTATGTACAGAAAACACACTTATTAATTCCCTGGCACAATATATATGGATATTCAGCTACATGTCTGATCTTTCAGTACCTGCTTGGTTAGTGCAAATGTAGCTACTCTGCCCATCATGAAATAAGAAACAGTAACAATATTCACCAGCCTGAACTGCTGTCTGGAGCTGGACTCAAGATGTATGCTGTTGGTCCACGGTTTTTGTGCTGGGTTCTACAGGGGTCTCATTCTTTCACCTCAGGATATTCTGCAAGGAAGAACTGGGTCCCTGGGATTTTCTTTGTTTTTCCAAACAATAATTCTCCTTTCTCTGCAGGGAATCGCTGTACCCTCTATGTTGCTCTGATTCTCATAGCATACATAATGTAAGCTATTTGGATCAGTGGAAGTTTGCAAACAAATGTAGTGGTTTTCAGATTTATTCCTAGTACAATTCCATTGACTTCAGTAGCGTTACACCAGGGGGAAATTGTTCAATAACGTACTTAATGTGTGGTTGCATATGTGAGTTGCTCAGATTTGGAACCACTATTTCATTTTCTCTGTTGACTCTGAGAAGATTAGTTTGGTTCATGTCCTTCTCACTCTGGATCTGATCCTCTTTCACTAGTGTCATAGAATACATTCATTGTTAGGATCAACTCATTGTGCATGCTTTGGTTTCCTGGTAGGAACTAAAGATGAACTAGCATCTGTAAATTGCAATGCAATCCTATGGAAAAGCTGTGGTTTCTTGCATGAATGATGTATGTGTAACCCTTCTCCCATCTAAGTTGGCAGCAACAAGGGCCGGGTTCTGTATCTAGGGATTCTGTTTCAATAACGCAATGCAAAACCAGCTTGAGCCCCCACCCAGTGACCTGGGACAATTACATACCACCCCCTGGGTGCCTCTAAGAGGCAATACTTCCCCTCTCGCAAGCACGGAGTCTGAGTGTAGCAGAAAATGTTTAATAACATGAGGTAAATGACATCAGTATTAAATTGGAAAAACACCACAAACAGGATTCATAACACAAACCATGAGCAAAAAACCCACCCCAGCAAATTGGGCTGTGTCCTTTCCCTTTGGTTCTTGAATCCAGCAACCCAAAAACCACCCAAAGTCTCTGCCCCTGGTCAATGCAGCCCCAGAGTAAAAGGGAGGGGGCACGCAGGGTGTTAAGGGGCACCTTACGTGATCCGAGGCCGGCCGGCCTTCTCTCCATGGGGTTCTGCCGCAGCCTTCACCACGAACCAGTCCACTTCTTGCCATCCCACAAACTGCTCCGCTCTACAAGCTGCTCCACTCCGCTCACCGACCTGTGAGCCGCTCCAGCCATCCCTGCAAACAGCTCCACTCGCCGTTCCTTGGGCCAGCCCCACAAGGCTGCTCGCAGCTCCTCCAGTTGTCCCCCCAAATTGCTCCGCCAGCTGCTTATCAATATAGTTCAGGCTCCCCCCTAATCAACACAGCACTTAGTGATCTCAGCTCTTAATAACGTTAGCTCTTTTGTGATTTCAGCTCATAGTAGGGGAGCCCCAGTGCTAGTGCACCATTGGCCCAAAGTGAATTCAGCTCAGCAATCTGTAACTAGACTCCTAATGGAATCAAAGTTAATTCTGATATTCAACAGTGGAGAGAGGAGGTAGTGCAATTGGTGTTTCAAACCCTCAGAGGCAGCCCATACCATCAGGTACAAATACCTGTCCCCATCCTCTCTCAATTCACTGGGTTTTGTAACCCATGCCCCTTGTCAAGCAAGTGCTACTTAGGTAATGGTGAAGGACTGGCACAGGAAAAGCAGATTAAGAAAACCTTTGTCATCTATTAGGGTTTTTATTTTTTTTTCCAGGTCTCAGAGTAATTTATATTACTGAGAAATATGTCTCTGATCCTTTAGCTATCTAGTTATAAATATATTAAAATAATGTATTACATTTTTATCAGGACTAAAGGGGTATTTTCAGTCACCTAAGAAAGCAAAACAGGCTGCAGTACATGCTAGTTATAAAGAACGAAACAGGCCTTAGTTGCCTGGCAAAGCTTTGCCCCTTGCAGATTGTTCTTGTAACTAAATATCTGGAAATGTTGCAGTTTGTTATTGAAGAAAATCTCAATTAGAGAGCTAGGACTCCCCAAATTGTCTGCTAACAGGCTATACTTGGATAATGGGTGTGTTCCCCAAGAACTTGTTTTTAATTTGTTTTATTTGCAACTTAGGGAGTGGGAACTGAAAGCAGCCACAGAGGTGAAATGCTTGGCTGAAGCACAGCCTACTGACAAAATGTGTATATCATCGGTGCTGGTATGTGAGGGGAGTCAGAGACCAGCCTATTTGTGGCAGGTTCTGCTAAGGAGCATAAACCAACCCACGCCCACCTGAGTTGTTAATTATCTAAGTGGTTGGGTGGCAATTAAGTAGCTTATTGGACACCTGGGCCTTATAGGACAGTTGAGAGAGATCAATTTGCTAATTGGAACCACAGGGAGTGAATATGCTTCTGTGGAAGGTCCTAGTCAGAGTCTTCAGGGAAAGCATATTCCAGGCAAATCAGCTCAGAGTGAAGAAAGACTTTCAAAGGTATCTCAGTATTGTATGTGGTATTTCTGTCCTTTCTTGTCTTATCCTACTCTCTAGATTCTCACTAGAATTTTCTCTCAGATTACACCATACTGTTGTGGTATTCACTTTTGGCCAAAGCTCTTTAATGTGTATGGTTCTGAATCTCTTACTGCACCTTTTTCTTTGAAGTTCCAGTCCTTTCTCAGGTTTCCCCCTTTTCCACACATTTGTGATCACACAGCTCTACTCCCAGTCTCAGTCCCATATAAAGTATGAAACAAAAGTAAAATAACACCTTTAATTTCTCAGCTATTTCTCTCTGGTAGAGAAAGTCTCTGTAAATAACAAAAAGGAATACTGCATATTCTAAACTATGCGCTACTTTTTTTTTTAATTTTAACCAACTTCCAGTTTCAGAGTGATCCCCTCTCCCCTTTCTCCCCCCCCAAAAAACAAAACAAAACAAAAACCCAACAAGCATACTTTACAGAGCTTAAACCATACAATGATTTTTTGCTAACTCTTCTGGAAAAAACAAATGGTATTCAGAAAGAGGATTTTTAAAGAGACTCATGTAGGCAACCCCTAGTCCCTGTGAGGAGAGTCTTAAAGTTGCTGTGACTGGGCATGGGCCTGTGTGCATCTCATTGAACAACTGGATTAATGATCTGTATGCAACAGTACAGTTTCATGTGCACTGCACCAGTAGATATGAAATCCTAACTATTCAATTGAATCACAAGGAACTACCGGGCAACGAGAGCCTCTTATTTTGAAGGAATTCCAGTATTCTTTTAACTGGCATCTCCATCCTCATGCTCCTGAGGCCACCAGGAGTTTCTTTAAGAAATTGAAGATTATGGCTGTATAAAAATAATTCATGTAGTCTGAAATATTTTCAGGATAGCATGTGAAAAATATTTGAGTACAGTCACTGTTCCAGGTAGTTGGCAGACTGCACTGGATTGAGGAAAAAATGAAAATGTTACTTTGGTTAATAATTGTGAAAGATTTAAAAAAAAAAAATCTTCTGGTCTGCAATTCCTTAGCTTGGTGGTCTTCATCCTACAAATATAGGCCCTGATCTTACAAATTGCTAGGCATGTGAATAGCTCTGTTGGGACTGCTCAAATTTTTAAAGGTAAGAACAAAAGTAACTCATTGCTGGATCATGATTACCACAGTTCTGGGTTTAACTGCATCTCTGCT